TCATCTAATATTAATATTATTAGTGATAGCTGGTATTTATAGCATTTCGTTTATGTCATGCACTGTTTCAGGCACTTTACGCGTGTTAACTGATTAATCAGGTAGGTAGTAGTATTCTCATCTGTTGTTATATGAGGTAACTGAAATAGTTGTCCAAGATCACACACTCGGGAAATGAGAGAGGCAGGATTCAGGCCCAGGCGGTCTGCTTCCAGAATCTGTACTTTTAACCACCATGCCACATCACTTCTGTAATTGAGATAGAAAATAAAAATTACACGAGTGTCATGATTACAGTACATTTGGCGTAGTGTGTGGTATTGGTGACATCTGCCAGACGGTGAATGACCAGCACGATGTCACAGTGGCTCAATCTGATGGGTGTGAGCACATTAATTGTATTGTAACCGATGTCATGATGATGATAATGTGGGATGTGATGGTTTCTGACTTTCTGTAGTATTTATGTAGGAAAAAAGGAAGACAAATGATTTTAAAAGTATATATGTATTTCTAAGATAACATATGTCCCATATTGTGTGCCATATTTTGGATGCTAAACTATCTTTTTTTTTCCCCTGTTGTTCACTTTTGGATTTAAATTCCCTAAACTCTGGAAAACTGGTGATCCAGAATAGGTGAAGTTCCAGACACTAACCAATTTATTGCAGAAAGTCATTAATGACCTTATTGAAAGCAGTTTCCCTGAATGGTAGAAGTGTAAACCAAATTGTCAGAAACTTAAAGTGAATGAGGATGCAGGATTAGAATGAGACAGAGAAGAGTTCTTGATGAGGTTGGAGAATGGGTGTGGTAGGAGATAGGGCAGACATGAACCAGAATAGCTCTTGGCCATAGTCACAGAGGATCTGCTCAGAGTTAAAGATTTAAAAACTGGTTTAGACCTGGGGAGTTACCTGAGATGTGGTGGCAGTGAAGTTCATTTTGGCTGAGGTAGTTAAACCACAAGGCTAGGGTTCTGAGGGGGTCATCTACTTGCAGCTCGGATGATGATGGTATTTGGAGGAGAGAGAGGATCACTGTGAACTAGTTGCCAGTGTTCTTAAACATGAGAATAACCAAGAGGTAAATAGGTGACAATGACAAGGAAAGGTAGATGTAGTGAAACATAGTTTTTGAGAGACAGACTAGAATTGGAAGACCTGAGTTTGAATCCTTCCTAGCTTGGCAACTTTGAATAAATTACTTAGTTAGGAAAACACTCTATACTGTGGGGACAATGATAATTAGACCTGCCAAGAAGAATGGCTGTGAGGATTAAATGAAATAATTAATGTATGTAAAACACTTAGTGCAATATGTGACAGATAGTACAAATAGTTTTTTAGGAAGATTGTTGTTTTTCAGTTCTGATATTCTGAGGTTTTTATACAGAAAATTGTACATTATAAGGATTAAAGAAATAGATTTGTATTTCAGGGTCTGACAGTGATGCTCTTACTCAGGAAAAAAGGAACTTTGCTTATCCTAACAATGGTGGGATAATGGTGGTGAAGTAAAAGTATATAAGAAATGGTATTAATGATGTGCTGGTGGTGATAGGAAAAGAAAACCATTGCTTGGGCAGGAGTTAGAAGTAATAAAATGCTGAATTTTTCAGTGCTATTTAGGTTTTGTAGCTGTGCTTGCATAGTTATAAGAATCTTTTATTTTTGAAATTCCTTCAGGGAAAAAGTTTAGTCTGAAACTCCAGTCCTAACTCCTTTCCCTCTGTTGAAATAATTATTTTTAAAACTTGGCCTTTGATAATGTGAGGGTTTTTTCTTCCCTTTGCAGTCTAGCAGAACTGATTATGAACTGTAGTAGTTGTGAGAGTGTTATTAGGAGGGTTTGTTACAGGTTGGAAGGCTTGGATGCAGCCCTGGGGGAGTTAGGAAATTGACAAACTCACCCTTTACCATCCCAGCCCTGCCTGTTTGCCCAAGACAGAAACACTGAGAGATGGATAGGAGGATATGAGCAGCTGATAGGAAACAGTTTTCTTAGGGGAGTCAGGACTTAGGCCAAGAGGCTGAGAATGTAGCAGAGCTTGTGGACACTGGAATGGCATATTTCACAGAACGCAGTAAAAGCAGTGAAGTTAAGAGGGCAGCAGTAGAAAGATGTCTTTTTTTTCAGCAAACACTTAACTTGAGAGCCTACCTTATGGGACAGTTCTGCTGTATCCCATGGGGTGGCTATGAGTTGAAATCATAACACCTAACAACAACCATCCCCATGTGCTAGGTACTATGTTAAATAATAGCCAGGGATACGTAGATGAACAAGATACCCTTGATGATTTTTCGTCTAAAGGGGACATTCAAACAGATAAATGCGGTGTAGAGATGATGAATGTGTGAACTAAAAAAAGGAAGAAATAGATTAAACTGATATTTGGAGAGAGTCAGGAAGAAGAGCAGCAGAATGGGGATTAGAATCTTTTAGAGCTCAGTGTTCTGGTTAGAGTTATTTCCTTGCGGCATAGGTTCCAAGTATTTTTCTAATATACCATAAAACACAGAGGTCAGGAAAACCACTTCTCATATAGTCTCAAAGGATTTAATTACTGATTGGAGTTTCTGTTGTTTACTTAAGATCAAGCACTATGGATGATTTGAACCTGGAAGATCTCACTATGGCGGATTATGCCTTGTTAGAAGATTGCTCTTATGTGGAGGACTTGGAATCTGCTCCTGGATCAGTAACCCATAATTCGGTTCGTTTGACTGAAGTTTACAGTGATGGGGTGGTAAGTAGGTTTGCTAGTTTAGTTTTAGCAGTATCTTCTTAAAGGCTTTCTGATTTGGAGATATATGAGTAAGGATGTTTTTGGTACATAGGTTTTTATAGGGAGGTATACGTACTTTTGAAGAGGGGATTTCAGAAGGGAATGGTCGAGAATGCATGATGGTAAAAGTTGTTTGCTGACTGGAGATTAGAAAAGCTCTCGGCGGGAGCTACCGAGACAAACTCGGGAAGCTTTGTGGAAAAGGCCTTTTAAAGACTCATTGGTTGAAGATGTGTTCAAAGTGTATATGCAGATATGCAATGAAATTTTTAATTTTGGTACCGAGTCTCTTAGAGTAAAAATCAAGAACTATACTTTTGCATTTTACTAGATACAAATCAGAATACTTTTCTTCTTTTTAGGGTATGCACTGTAAAGATTATACCCGAAGTGAGAAAAACTTGGGTGAGTACTTTGGTATTTTAATGCTAAATGTTTGAAAGACTATAAAGGGAGATTTACTATTCACAACATAACAGATTTGATATATGTCTTTTTAAAATTTATTCTTTTTCACTGAGGAAACAAAGCTATTCTTCGTTAAAATAGAGTTTTAGTCAACACTTAAATGTACTTAATATCTAACAGATTAAAGATATATTCATCCTAGTCTGGGTGTCTTGCCTTTCCATATCCATTTTTGCCTTTTTCCTACTAACAGTCTTGATTCATTCCAAAATGAGGTGAAAATATTGATTTAAAACTTTTTTTTTTTAAACTTAAGAATTTGACATCTGCCGTATATGGTGTAGTAAACCAGTTTCTGTCCTGAAAGAGTACTGTGATGCCATTAAAGTATTTATCTTCTGGCCACTTCTGTTTCATCATCAGAATGGTTCTCTGTTAACACAACTGCATCCTTGTATGGAGGCCAAGTAAGTGACTCTATGTTGTTCCTTTCGTATGAACAGTAACAGGCATGCTGCCTCATACGAGGAATGCCAAGTGCAGTGCAAGGCTTAGGTCTCGTTCTGGTCTGCTGTTCAGCTTGACTCTTGTTTAATAGATGAAGGTAGAAAAAGTGAATACTTGGGATTTGGATATGAATGAATGATCATTATAACATTATAATGAATGAAATTCTGAATAGCATTAGATGGTAGACTTGAAGCCAAGTCAGGAAAATTTAATATGCTGTTTATAAATATTAATGTTGTAGTACAGAAGAGAATAAAGGAATAGTATTTTGTCTACTTAATAAACAATTATTACTTAGAGTGAAGAAGCAAAGAACTTAATTTTTCTTCAGTATTTTAAATTGAGTTATAATAGTTTATAGGTATCTAAATCTTAAGTGTAAATTTTAATGAATTTTTATCTATGAGTTCCTAATCTTTAAAAAAAATTAATTTGTCTTTAAGTAATTCTCGTGCTTGTGAGTTAAGTTTGGCGAAATTACAACATATTGAGTTGATGGAAGATATTGTGGATTTGGCAAAGAAAGTTGTGGTAAGTGATAGAATGCAGTTTTTAAATTTCCTATGTAAAGAATATATGGTGTCAGGCTCATGTTACTAATTTGTAGCATGATTTTAGTTTCAATTAACCTGAGACTATTCTGCTATTTGGAGTCCTGGGTGGTGCAGATGATTAACATGCTCGGCTGCTCACCAAAAGGTTGGCAGTTTGAGTCCACCCAGAGGCACCTCAGAAGAAAGGCCTAGAGATCTATTTCTGAAGAATCAGCGGTTGAAACCCCTATGGAGCACAGTTCTATTCTGATACACACGGGGTTGCCATGAGTCAGAATTGACTCAACGGCAACTGGTTTATTCTGCTTGCTATTGATGAGTTTGTGCTCAGTATTTGAGATTGGGTAGATGGCTGTTGTTATAGTTCTGATATGACATGATGGGGGCCAGGACTGCTGCTTGTCACAGAAGGATAAAAAGTGGAATACATCACAGTCTATTACATGATCAAAATGATGGCTTCTGTTTCCTAATGTAAAAAGACACCACATTCATTGTTACTGCAACAAATATTTTTGTCCTTGGGGTAGAGTTTATCATGTCTGTTTTCAGAAGGTTTTGATTAAGGGTTGTTTTGTTTTTTTTTTCTTTCTTAAAAAGCCGTTCAGTAGTTTTTATTTCAGTTGTTTATGGAGCCGAGTGATTTTCTTGGTACTGTTTCAGTTGCAGACAAATTTAGAAAAGGCATTCTGATGTTTATTTTCTGCTGGTAATTCTTTGCAGTAACTTACATCAGCCAATGTAACTTTATAAAAAATCTGAGTGTAGTGAACTTTAAAAACTCATACATGTAAAGTTATACTAAATCATTTCATCATTACAGCCCTGTATAAGACCATTTCTCAGTTCTTGTTTCAGGCCCCTTAAGGGGTAAATTGGGCATGAAAGTACTTGTGGGAAGAAGACTACTACATATATATAATAGTTTTCCTAAAATATAGAAATTTTTTCCACTAGAAAATTCAAGTATAATTGAGTAAGGAAAGACACATGTATCTTGTTCTTTTTTGTTTTGCAGAATGATTCATTCTTTATTGGAAGCTTACTGAGAATTGGTTACAAAATAGAAAATGTAAGTGTTAAATGCGGGAACCCTGCACAACCACTGTGAATAAATGACATTCATCTCACTGCTCATTTCCCCATGTGTTGAATCCATATTTTATATGTAGTATTTGGCAGTGTTGATTTCTGTATCTTGCTTAAGAAGTCTCCTGATTCTGGGGATATGAGTCATTTTCATTTTTTTACACATATATGTAGTATAATTTTGAGCATCTTTGTACAATTCTTTTTTTTTTATTCCAAAGGAACAAAAATTCCAAAGGAATTTTTTTTTATATTGTACTTTAGGTGGTTTACAGAACAAATAATTTCTCGTTTATAAACAGTACACATATTGTTTCGTGACATTGGTTTACAACCCCACGACATGTCAACACTCTCTGTTCTCGACCTTGGGTTCCCTATTACCAGCTTTCCCGTCCCCTCCTGCCTTCTAGTCCTTGTCCCTGGGCTGTTGTGCCCCATTAGTCTCATTTTGTTTTGTGGGTCTGTCTAATCTTTGGCCAAAGGGTGAACCTCGGGAGTGACTTCATTACTGAGCTAAAAGAGTGTCTGGGGGCCATACTCTCAGGGTTTCTCTAGTCTATATCAGGCCAGTAAATCTCACCTTTTTTTGTGAGTTAGAATTTTTCTCCAGCTCTGTCCAGGACCTTCTGTTGTGATCCTTGTCACAGTAGTCAGTGGTGGTAGCCGGGCACCATTTAGTTGTACTGGACTCAGTCTGGTGGAGGCCGTGGTAGTTGTGGTCCATTAGTCCTTTGGACTAATCTTTCCCTTGTACAAGTTAATTCTTTTTTCTCTTTTTAGGTTACTTACCTGGTATAGGTTCCACCAAATGAAATTATTAGGTCCCTGGTATGAACATTTTTTGATATATAATTAATAGTTAATCTCCAGATATGATGATAAACCAATTTTTAATGCTACTGGTGACATAAACATCTACATGTTTCCCTTAAGCCTGATACCAACATTGATAACTCAGGTACTTAATTTGTAAGTTATTCTAGACATCTGAGGTATCAGGAACATTTCTGTGAACTCGATATTTCATGAAGGTCACTGTCCCGAGGTCCCATTTACCCAGCTGTGTCCTCTTGTGTATCTCCTTATTCTTCGATTTGTCACATAAACCATGTAAAATACATATTCCCTTTGGTGAACCTTAATCTATACGCTTAACCTTGGGCTAATTCTAAGGATGGAGGTTCTAGTTTAGACGAGAGCTGAGACCCCCCCCATCCATCTTGTATTACTGCATTCTTCTGCTACCCAGGGCAGCCTCTCTGGCCAGGCTGCAGACCTGAACTTCCGGGTCTGGAATCAGTGCAGAAGCATCTTGAACTCTGATGGTGGCCTGAGGTCACCTGAAGTTGTAAGCTGTTGGTACCTGTTAACTCATACGGTAATTAGGTTGCATACTAGAGTAATGAAAATGTGGGATTCATACAAGTTTTGTATTATGGATCTGAACTACTAAATAAAATAAGCTGCCAATGCCACATGCCAAATTTAAAATCAATACTGAAATCCCATTCTTTATCTCTGTTTTTAAAACAGAAAATTCTGGCAGTTGAAGAGGCTGTGAATTGGGTAAAATTTGTAGGCGATATAACACTTCTGTCTAAATTACAATCACTTGAAAATTGTTGGCCTATGTTAAGTATTTTCTTTACTGAATGTAAGTATAAGTGCTTTAAATTGTTACTTGACTCAGTTTTTAAAGACATTATTTGGGAAAGGGAATGTGTAAATAATGTGATTTCTATTTATTTTACGATTAAAAAAAAGTTTTCCTTTTTTTATGTATGTCTGAATAAGAGAACTTTAATTTTGTAGTTTTATTCCACATTTCCTGTTCTAATGCTTTTTATGACATTATACCTTTAAAAAAAATACCTACCAAATTGATGTTATATGCTATTATATATAACACCCAAGAAAGAGACCACATCTGGGTCTTATATATTCTCATTCATAAGAGAAATGAGTAACAGATGATAAGATTATAATATTTTTATTTTCCTGATGAATGTTATTTTTATGTCTGATGAAACTGCAGTATATATATATGTATTTTACTTTGTGAAATGTTTTTCTTTGAAGCATTTGAATGTTAGCAGTGTTTTTATAATATACCAGTAGGAATCTTGAGTCAGGAAATGTTTGGCTCTTTAGTAGATGATGACCAATAATCTGTTATCTCCACTGAAATTTTATACTGTTGACCCTAGAGTTAGAGAGAGATTAAGCTTAAATATGAAGACAGCTTTTTCTGATAGATTTACTAAACACCTGGGATGTATTACACCGATAGAGGTTGTTTTCTTTGTTGTTCTGGAGGCCTTTAATTATTTACTGGGTTTTACAGTGGAAAGAGAGAGTATCATGCATTGGGCACCTATAACGGGTTTATTTCTGACGCTGTATATTCTCTCTGTTCTTTGTTGTAATAGCCCTGCAAGGTAGCTGTTATTGTCCCTATTTTAGAAATGAGTGAACTAAGGCTCTGAGAGGTTAAGTGATATTTCTGTAGTCTAGTAAGTAGCAGAGCCTAGATGGGAAGTCAGGTCTCAGATTCCAAAGTGCAGGCTTTCCTCCTATAATCTTTCTGTCCCTTAATATTACTTTATTTAGGGATCTTCTGAAATCCTTTCTTGAATCTTAGATTTTAGGCACTCCTTTTGTCTTGAACACAAATGTATTTGGCTAAATAAAGGCTTAGCTATACTTTTATTGCAATTAAGTTTTTTTTTTTTTAACCATTTTGTGAAATCTTTTTTACAGTACAGCTTAAAATACGGATAATTAGCCCTAGTCGACTTTTGACATAAAGTTTGTTATTATCTGATGCATTTTAATTAGTTTATTAAATTTTTACAAGAATAGTATTTCAGATAACTTCTCATTTTAACATTTCATTCCTGAGAGCCAAAATGTTGAATAGAGACATTTTAACTGATTCATTTTATGACATACATTTTAGAAAGTAGTTATGCAGGTTCTTGTTTTCATACATTTTTATTGTGCCTGGTATATGTAGGTGCTCAATAATATTTATTGAATTGACTTGAGTTAGTTATGGGCCCTGTTTGGAATATGTTATAACAGCATTTGTTGTAACTACAACTAATCTAATAATAAACAAGTTGTTTTTTTTTAAATGCTAGAAGTAAAAACTATTTAGATCCACAGCAAGCAATGAAAGTAATCTTTTCCACATCATTTTATCTGGTTTTTAATTTTTTTAAGTATATTATTTGTTACATGTAATATATTGTAAGAAGCATGTAAGTTTGTTGTTGTGTGCCATTGAGTCAATTCCAACTCACAGTGACTCTATAGGACAGAGTAGGACTGCCCCATAGGGTTTCCTGGGCTGTAATCCTTACAGGAGCAGATCGCCAGGTCTTTCTTCCGCGAAGCAGCTGGTGGGTTCGAACCAACAACCTTTCAGTTAGCAGCCAAGCTCTTAACCATTGCGCCACCAGGGCTCCTTATAAATTCTTTAGAAAGTATAATATTATA